GGATGGGGCTGGGACGGGGCTCGCGGACCTCTATAGGTGGGGCGCGGGGCGTTGAGGCGCGCACCTTTGGGCCAGCAGCCGGAAACAAAATGGATAGAGAAACACAAATCCCCGCTCCGCATTGAGTAGACGTCGCCTTGCTCGAGACCCCGAGAGCCACCCTCCACTTGAGCCTGGCCGGGGGGACGGGGGACGGGGGACTTGAGTGACTTGCGATGAGCCCGAGCACCGAGCTTGAGCTGCTCTCCTGGAAACGTCTCGACGAATCCTTGTTTCGTAGAAGCACCTGGCGCTTCTCTTCGGGCACGTCGATATTCATCTCTGCTCTCTTGTTCCTCTTGCAGGCAAGGCCTACTACGCGAACCTGGAGGACCCCGGCTCGCTCCTGGAGGAGCCCGTCGCCATGCTCACGGAGGCGCCCGGCCTCCCGCAGCCCCAGAGCATCCCCTCGCCGTCCAGGTCGTCGCCGCACAGCCAGGGCTCCGAGGCCGGCGAGAGGTTCTCCCGGAAGGTCTTCGTCGGCGGCCTGCCTCCAGACATCGACGAGGGTGAGTAGTGGTCCAGAGGACGACCTGGTGTCCGGGGTAATCCATGTAATGTAATAATCCAGAGGTAATTTATTGGAATGATGGGGGTGGGGGAGGGGGTAATACGGACGGAAAGTAAGGATACGGTAATCCGCTCACCAAAGATATACCCCTCAAAGTTCAGGAACTGACTCCACCTGTTGGGCGAGGGGGTGGAGAAAAACTGGCGCAACTCGAATATCAGTCGATGACGAGTCGGAAAAGGACGCGACCGTTTGTGCCCGTCACTTTGTCCGGCGAGTCCATTCGCTCAAAGCGCCGGTGACGAGCTCACAATTTGACACGTCATCAGGCTCCAGTACGCAGGACGCCAGGACGCCCTCCTTTTGTTGCAATATTGAAATGCGAATGAAAGGGGCTGCTTTGTCTGTCGTTGTCCCGTATGCCCCGCTGCTCAACAATGATTGACTCGTTTTCCTCATTGCCCTGTATTTGTTCTTTTGCCCCGCAGACGAGATCACCGCCAGCTTCCGTCGCTTCGGCCCGCTGGTAGTCGACTGGCCGCACAAGGCGGAGAGTAAATCGTACTTCCCGCCCAAGGGCTACGCGTTCCTACTATTCCAGGTAAGTCCGAGAGGTCTGGGCCACGTCTGGGCCTGGGGCGCTCGGAGGAGGAGGTGATGGGGAAAGTGTAACGCGGCCTTTTGTTCAAAGAGTGTAACTAATCTCTTTTCCCTCCCCTTTAGGACGAGAGCTCGGTGCAGCAGCTCATCGAGGCGTGCATCGTGGACGACGACAAGCTGTACCTGTGCGTCTCCTCGCCCACCATCAAGGACAAGCCCGTGCAGATCCGGCCCTGGCGGCTGTCGGACGCCGACTTCGTCCTGGACGCGTCCATGCCCCTGGACCCCCGCAAGACGGTGTTTGTCGGCGGCGTGCCCCGCCCGCTCAAAGCAGGTGGGTGTAGACATCTCTTATCAGTTCACCATCCGACTGATAACAATAATGGGATGGTTGGCTCGGCGGCCTCATCAACCAAACTTGTTAATCTAATCAATCGCTTGATGGTTTCCAGTGGAGCTCGCCATGATCATGGACCGGCTCTACGGGGGCGTCTGCTACGCGGGCATCGACACGGACCCCGAGCTCAAGTACCCCAAGGGCGCGGGCAGGGTGGCGTTCAGCAACCAGCAGAGCTACATCGCGGCCATCAGCGCGCGCTTCGTGCAGCTGCAGCACGGCGACATCGACAAGCGGGTGAGTGTGCGGTAGCGGAGCGGCCGACCACGCTGTCCTGGGTGACCTAGAGATACCTCGCTACCCCGAAAAATTCAATTTACACCCCCCCTCCCCCCCAAAAAAA